GCCTTTCTGTAAAGGAATAGATTGTTATTTTTGTGCACTTTTTGGTAGTGCATTATAGTAAATATTCAAGAACTATTTTTTGCTTGGAATGCAAACTATTATCAGTAGAAACTACCAACTGAAATTTTATCCTACTTGATTTACTTGACCTAATAAATGATCCTTAAAATATAAAATTTAGGGGCTTCCCTGGTGGCACAGTGGTTGAGAGTCCACCTGCCCATGCAGGGGACGCGGGTTCGTGCCCCGGTCCGGGAAGATCCCACATGCCGCGGAGTGGCTGGGCCTGTGAGCCATGGCCGCTGAGCCTGCGCGTCCGGAGCCTGTGCTCCGCGACGGGAGAGGCCACAACAGTGAGAGGCCCGTGTACCGCAAAAAAAAAATTTTTTTTTAAATATATATATAAAATTTAACTCCAAATAATATCTGTGTTTAATATGTTATTATTAAACATCAGCTTATCATTTTATTACTATTATTATAAATTTATTTATTTATCTATTTATTTTTGGTTGCATTGGTTCTTCGTTGCTGTGCGCCAGCTTTCTCTAGTTGCGGCAAGCGGGGGCTATGCTTCATTGAGGTGCCCAGGCTTCTTGTTGTGGTGGCTTCTGTGGTTGTGGAGCACGGACTTCAGTAGTTGTGGCACATGGGCTCCATAGTTGTAGCTCATTGTCTCTAGAGTGCAGGCTCAGTAGTTGTAGAGCACGGGCTTAGTTGCTCCACAGCATGTGGGATCTTCCTGGACCAGGGCTCGAACCTGTGTCCCCTGCATTGGCAGGTGGATTCTTAACCACTGCACCACCAGGGAAGCCCTGTTATTACTATTATTGAACATCAATTGTTTTGCTAGGTTGAGGTGTGCAGTTTTTTTTTGTTTTTCTTTTTTTAAAGAATGATAGCTTAATGTGGAATCTATCTCAACTCTCAGACTATGAACTACATACACAACACCTTTTTCCATGGAAGCTAATGGAGTTATTTATTTATTTATTTTAAACATTTTACCCCTTTATTTTTAAAATTTTTTTCAGTTACACATATATATATACATCCATTCTTTTTCAGATTCCTTTCCCATATTGGTTATTACAGAATACTGAGTAGAGTTCCCTGTGCTATACAGTAGGTCCTTGTTGATTATCTATTTTATGTGTAGTAGTATGTATATGTTAATCCCAAACTCCTAATTTATCCCTCCCCCACCCACCACCTTTCCCCTTTGGTAACCATAAGTTTGTTTTTAAAGTCTGTGAGTCTGTTTCTGCTTTGTAAATAAGTTCATTTGTATCATCTTTTTAGTTTCACATATAAGTGATAGCATATGATATTTGTCTTTCTCTGTCTGACTTACTTCACTTAGTTTGACAATCTCTAGGTCCATCCATGTTGCTGCAAATGGCATTATTTCATTCTTTTTTTATGGCTGAGTAACATTCCATTGTATATATGTACCACATCTTTATCCATTCATCTGTCGATGGGCATTTAGGTTGCTTCCATGACCTGGCTATTGTAAATAGTGCTGCAATGAACATTGGAGTGCATGTATCTTTTCGAATTATGGTTTTCTCTGGATATATGCCCAGGAGTGGGATTGCTGGATCATATGGTAGTTCTATATTTAGTTTTTTAAGGAACCGCAATACTGTTCTCCATAGTGGCTGTACCAATTTACATTCCCACCAACAGTGTAGGAGGGTTCCCTTTTCTCCACACCCTCTCCAGCATTTATTGTTTGTAGAATTTTTGATGATGGCCATTCTGACCAGTGTGAGGTGATACCTCATTGTAGTTTTGCTTTGCATTTCTCTAATAATTAGTGATGTTGAGCATCTTTTCATGTGCTTTTTGGCCATCTGTATGCCTTCTTTGGAGAAACGTCTATTTAGATCTTTTGCCCATTTTTTTGATTAACCTGTTTCTTTTTTTGATATTGAGCTGCATGAGATGTTTGTATAACTTGGAGATTAATCCCTTGCTGGTCGGTTCACTTGCAAATACTTTCTCCCATGCTGTGGGTTGTCTTTTCGTCTTGTTTATAGTTTCCTTTGCTGTGCAAAAGCTTTTGAGTTTAATTAGGTTCCATTTGTTTATTTTTGTTTTTATTTTCATTACTCTAAGAGGTGGGAGTTTTAGTTTAAAAACATTTAAAATATATGTTCTTGGGTCTCAGATCATATATTTTTTTAAAAGTTGAAGTATAGTTGCTGTACAGTATTATGTAAGTTATAGGTGTACACTATAGTGATTCACAGATTTTAAAGTTTATAATCCATTTATAGTTATAAAATATTGGCTATATTCCCTGTGTTGTACAGTATATCCTTGGAGTTTATTTTATACCTTATAGTTTGAACCTCTTAGTCCCCTACCTCTATATTGTCCCTCCCCACTTCCCTCTCCCTGCTGGTAACCACCAGTTTGTTCTCTATAACAGACCATATCTTTTGAATCAGAATATCTGAGCAAGCATCACAGGTAATTCTGTGTCATTCTAAAGCTTGAAAACCTCTGTTTTTAGAAACAATATATCTGGAACAGTCATTTTTTTCTGCATTTATTCACATAAAATAGTTCCTGAACACTCAGTATATGAGGGTATGAGGGGGACTATTTGAGGCACTGAGGGGATAAGAAGACAAATTAGACATACTCCTTCCTTGCAAGAGCAGAGACCTTAGCAGGGAAAGAAGATCCTTGAATAAAAACAACAATTACAATACAAAGCAATATGTTTTCCTATCAAATTACAGCAAATAAAGGCTCTAAGAGAGAACAGGAAAAACTTCTGATGGGGGATCTGTGGAAATGTGATGTGAGACTTAAGGTGTGGAGGACATCTGAGCTGATGCCAAAACGTGTGTGTGTGTGTGTGTGTGTGTGTGTGTGTGTGTGTGTGTGTAGGGGTGGTTGAAATGTGCTGGGGCTGGGGAGATTGTAGTACAGGAAAAGGAAGTGGCAGGAGTTAAGGCAGTAGCGTGTGGTACCAGGAGGAGGATTATAGTCAGCATGACTGGTACCCAGAAAAATAGGAGGAGGTAAAACTAAAAGGCAGTTTAGGATGCATTTGGAAGTAGCTTGGAATATCTTTGTATAGCAGACAGGGGAAAATCACAAAATACTTCTGATAAAAATAGTGACCCAATCAAGGCAGAGCCCAAACTCAAAGCTGAAGCTACCTGCCAGATGGATTGTTTGGAAGAGTCAAGGGGCTATAGTCAGGGAGCCAAATGTGAGGTCAAAACCAAATTAGAGATGAAGCAATGGGAAAAGAAAGCAGCAGAGAGCTGCAAAAAAGTGCTGAACAAAAAACCGTTCCGACTTGGTGTTTAATTAGATATGATGAGGGTGGGTGAGGAATGAGGCAAGATGACTCATGTTTGGAGCTTGAGAGAACAAGTGTACCCTTAACAAACAAGGAAGTCAGCAGAAGCTGGTTCTTGGGGAAGTTTAATTTTAGAAATTTAAAGTTTGAGGTGCTTCCTGGGTATCCAAATTTAAACCTTTTATTGCCAAAGCTAACAGGCAATTCTATTCCATTACCAGAGAGTCCTGCTGTTAACCAATCACCTACCTTACTTTTTCCATTGGGTTCCCTACCTTCTCCCCCAGGGTTCTTTAAATCCTTCTTGCACCGGCAATGTCAGGTCTTTTCTGTACATTCTTGGACTAAGACACTGGAGAATCTGCAAGACATATAAACATTTTTTTCTTGTTAATATTGATTAGTTCCCATACTAAAACGTCAAGGGGTCACGATGGCAGCCCATGATGGTTCTTTTCTCTAGGTCTTACTAAAGATGCCTTCTATACTAGCAGGAAAGCCATGAAGAAAGGACAGAGTGAATCATGGGGAAAGAATATTCCATCTCACCACCCAATACAATTATATAGTTATATGAGTGGAATCGGAACTCTTGGAGAGGTCAGGGTTAGAAAGAGAGATTGATTGATTTGGGAGTTTTTTGAATGAAATTGAGTAGGAAAGCAGAGAAGCAGTAGATTTTCTGAGTGTATGCTTTAGCAAGTTCTGTTTTACAATTCACATTTTGTTGGTGACTGGCTCTCTTCTAAAATAGATCACACTGTCCTCGGGCACAGTGAGTCATTTCATGTTATTGTCTTCCTCAGTTCTACTCTGCATTTGTCCCTTATCAGCTTGCTCTCATCTCTAACCCTTTTGCCAGTGTTTCTGTCTAAGCATTTCTCCTATCTCCACTAAGGTCAGAGAAAAGGGAAATACACTGAAATCACCATCCCATCAACAGGGTCTATGGAGTAACTTGGTTGAGCTTCGCATCATTCTGGGTCTTTCAGTCATATCATATGAGTGAATGAAGTTAGTTTAAAAAGGCTTACCTTTATATGACAATTGTTAAAAGTTGGAACGAGTTATCTAGAGAGGTCGTATAGTCTAAACATGGAAGAAATGGTTAGAGTGGGTGCTGCCCGGTAATGGATAGTGGAACACAATGTCATATATATTCTTGGGATAATATAAATATATTTTCAATTATATTTCTTGCTGACATGTGGGTCGATTGTTTTCCACTTCTTTCCACACTTGTGTAAGCAGAACCCTTATCATTGAGCTTGCATCAAGTTTTATATATGATTACTTTATATCTGCCACATCCTCCATATTGGCTCGTATGTTGGCCAATGCAATAGGAAATTCTGTTCTTTCACTTAAAGCTTCTTTTTTCAGTCATTGTGGAATAAAGTAATCAGTGCTGAATCATGTTCTTTAAATGAGACTGATAAATATTTTTTTCCTATACACAGTGGATATTAAGCAAATGACAACCATTTTACTTGCATTAAGAGAGAAAGAAGAAGCAGTGTCCTACTTCAGCAGGAGGTACTTTTGTTCTGTGTAACTAAGGCATTTCCAATTTAGGGAATAGCAGTAGGTCAAGGTCCAGGGAGGAGGTCAGTGAAAGACTAATAAAATGTATTTTCTCTTTTTCTGTATGTTTCTCTGACTAGAACAGAAACTGACCTCTACAGGATGTTTGGGTGAAGGTAAGGCTAATTTGAGGTAAATCTACTTTTTAAGTACCACAGTCTCACCTCCCTCTAGCTGGAGCCCCAGCCCCTGAGGGCAGAGTTCTTGCCAGCTTCTTCTCTTGGACTGTCCCCTCCGATAGCTCCTATCCTAACCCTGGCCCCTGCTGTTTTCCTTGATGGCTCTGATGGAAGTAGCAGAAGCACCTGGTACATGCTGGACATGTATTTGGGGGCAGTATTTTTCCTCTTTAGCATCTCTATTCTAACTACTCTCTTTGGGTGTAGCTTCACTCTAATTATAGCGAACACTAAACAAAGTGAACTTCAGTCCAGCAACTTCTCAGTTCCTCAATTTGAGAGAGAGAAAAGTTTTACAAATAATTTCTTCACTTACTGGTTTTCATTCTGCTTTGTGGGATACATCTAGTTAATTGATTAATCATCTAATTACTGTTGTCAGGATAGCAGACAAGTAAAATCTCTAAGCTTATTTACTATCTAAAAGTGGGCATAGACACACTTTAATTTTAGGTTTGTTCTGAGGATTAAACAAGATCATGCATAATACCTAGAACATATATTTGATAAAAGAATCGATTCAGTTCAATTTACCACCAGTATTGTGATGTGCTAAATCCACTGTTAATTCTGATTCAGAGTTTTGAGAATGGCTCAAATAATTTTATATTAACTTACTATAATAGCAACCACTTATTTGAGTGCTTACTATGTGTGAGGCTCTGTGTTAAACACCAATATTAACCTGTTAAATTTTCACTACAACACCAGGAGGTAAGTCCCGTTATCTCTGTTTTATGAAGCTTGGGTAGAAGTAGCTTGCCGAGTGGCAGCTTCTTAAAGTCTGTTTGACACCTAGGTCTGTACCCCTAGCTATAATATACTGCCTCCCTGTGACCATCTTCTAAATACTGGTGTCATATTTTGAAAGTACAATACTCAAACTTGAGCAGCTGTTCTTCTGTAATGATTGTGAAGTTGACTCAGGTAGGAAAGTGTTGCAATTAAAGTGAAAAAAGACTATGGACTTGGAACTCTATGATGGTGTATGCCGTGGATCAGGTCAGCTGGGGTCAGCATCTCTTTCCTTCTAGAACATTGGCTAAGAACCAGGCTCTAGAATCATATTTCCTGGGTTGTATCCCAGCTCTGCCACTTAGTAGCTTTGTGACCTAGGGCAAGCTCAGCTTTCTGAGCCTCAGTTTTCTCATCCATAAAATGGGGATAAAATTACTCACCTCACAGAGTTGTTGTGAAAATTAAATCAGTTAATACATATAGTTTCCTTAAAATAGTGGCTGACACTTGGTGAGCACTACTAGGTATTATTAATGTTTCTACATCCTTCACTTTATATCTCCCTTCTGGCTGCCTTTCTGTGTGCATACTTGCACTCTTGCTAAGAAAGGCATAGATTTACTTAAAAATGTTGTGATGCCTGTTCCTATGATCATAATCGGCTTTTGTAGTTTTTAGTAAATTATATAAAGAGAAAAGTTGATTGTTACTCTTAATAGTAGCAATTATTGCTTAAGAATTAATGAGATTAATAATCTTTTCTGTGTTTAATTCTGACTTCAAATTTATGAAATTGAAACCTGTTTAAAATCAATATTAACAAAAGCCAAAAATATTAAGTGACCCAGTTGGCCTTATCTTTAGTCATCATTTCAGATTAGAAGCAAAAGTGAATTTAAAATATGTGGCTATATAGAATCTTTCCTATTTTTGTACATGCTTTGTGAGTGAGGTACATGGTTAGATATCTTAGCCTTTTTGCCCAGCTCAAGGAAGAGTTAATGAAGTAAAGTTATGTAAAGTGCATCGAATTCCTCAGGAGAGAAGTCTTATATTAATACCTGCCTCACAGTGATGTTCTCAGACTCAATGACAGAAAGTTTGTAAATTGCCTTGGTACTCCCAGTAACATCTTGATGAAGCATCATTTTGTTTTATTGCAAGGAGCTCTAAGTTACACAGAATGCAAGTTAAGGGGGAAATAATATCCCGGTCTTTATTTTACAATCAGAAGTACGTAAAATAAAAAGGAAACATTTTGTTTTAGTTGTGAGTGGTAGAGTCGATCATTTTTATATTAGCTCTTTCCATTACTTTTGGGAGGGGGAGATATTTATAATACACAGTTTAATCAGGCACTCATCATTAAAGTATACAATGGCAGAAATAGCGATCATGATAGAGACCTTTAAGACACTAGTGTTCAAATATTTAAAAATCAAATTCCAGTTTTAAAAGAGTAAAACTCTTTTTTATATGATTACTATTAAGTTTGGCATTTTTGAGACATGTCTTCAATCGATACCTGTAATACTTACAAACATCAGTAGGGAGAATAGTATTGTAAACACATATTCTTGCTGTAGGGTACTTTTTAAATGTCTAAACACTAATCAATATAGAGAAATTAAGTATTGACTAAAATAGCTTTATAATAAGTAATTATTGGTTTGCTCTTTTAGAAATTAGACATTTTCACTTTGGGAATAAAGAGTAAATTTACTGTCATGAAATTAAAGTGTTTTTGACCTTTTTGCACAACTTTCCTATCTCTATGAAATGATTAGGTTTAAATATGATTGCACAGCTGTATTATGTTGCAAGCATCAATTTTTAATTATTATAAGGTCAATGTTAGAACAAATGTGATTAGTATAGTACCTCAGTGCCCTTATTTGCTTTCCACTCAAAAACCACCTGGTGTTTACCAAAACCAACCTGAACCTCTCTCTGTTGATATGACTAATTAGATATATGCCAAATCCTTTATTGTTTTTCCTCAGTGTTCATCCTATATATGTTATTTTGTTGATTCTTTCAGGTTTAAAAAATACACATTGCTTGATTTATCTCTTCCCTTCATAGAGGGACATTTATTTTCCTATGTGTCTATGTGTAGGGTCTCTGTGTGTATAATCATAGCTGTTAATAACTTCATAATTCTCCTGCCTTTGTATGACATGTTGTCCTGGTCAGCTCAGGCTGCCATAACAGAATACAGTAAAGTGGGTGGCTTAACAACAAACATTTATTTCTCACAATTCTGGAAGCTGGGAAATCCAAGATCAAGGTGCCAGCAGATTCAGTGCTGGTGAGAACCCTCCTCCTGATTTACAAGTGGCCATCCTCTGGTTATGACCTCATATGGGCTTTCCTTCGTATGTGTACATGGAGAGACAGAGAAAGAGAGAGAGTTCTTACTTTTCTTTTAAGAGCATTAATTCTATCATGAGGGCACCGCCCTCATGACCCCATCCTCATCATGACCTAATTACCTCCCAAAGGCCCCACCTCCAAATATCAGGACTGATTTGTATGAAGTCCATTTAAAAATTAAAGGAGTTTCATTTCCAGACATGGGTTTATTTGATTACATGTTTGTACAGATTTGCCATTCGCTCTTATTTTTCCTACTGCTCTATGAGACTTTGAATTTAGCTCTAGAAATGAAATGGTATTACATATAAAACCTACAGAATAATACATGACCTACACACTAGCCATTAAAATTCCCCAGATGTTTAGCATGAATAGTGATTCAGGTTTTAATGCAAAAGTAGTTTTCTAATTCTTAAAGAGTTTTTTAGATTTCATTTTCTGTTGATTTATTATTTACATTTAAAAAATAACAACACTAGACAAAAAACATTTGTTGTATTTAGTAAATGAAGTAGCATATGGTTTCCTATAAACTAGAAACGTGCAGGCCAGATATTCCATCTCTGTGGCTTGGGGAATGAATGTTCAGAAGCTGGTTGGGCTCTGGTGGGAATCTTAAGATGTTGTAGTGGAGAACAGACCTCACCAGGCTGTGACAGGGGCCAAGTGGCTGGTGGGGAAATGACTCATTAGTATTGATCAGGGTGGGCTCTGAAGAAGATAAGTCTTGCCTTTGTTTCCTCCATACTTCTTCAGTCAATTGAGTAGAGGCATAAAGGCCACTTATAAGAATTACAAGAACTTATTTCTATGTTAGATGATGCAGCTTCCCCCTCCCCCATTCCCTTCTCATCTACTGTGTTATTTTTGAGTCACATATTCTAAAAATAGTTGCTTTTAAAAAAGAGATATGTAGGGCCTAAATTTCTCTTGTTGAGAAATTTTAGGGCCTAATAATTAGGGTCTAATGATCAAATTCTAGGCATTGAAACAAGGAGTTAGGAGATATTTTGGGATTGTATGGTTCTCTTCTGAACTTCTTAAATTATGTTACCCAAGAGTAAGCTTATTCGAAATGGTTTTACGAGCCACTTTTTCTCCTACTCCACTACCTACTGCCTCTACTCTCACTACCTACATAGCAGAATATTTGTGAATAATGTACCACAAACATTGCTAGAAAAATTCTTTTTATTTTAAACAGGACATTGTGAAAGTAAGGAAAGAATTTGTTATACACTAAGCTTGTAGAAAGATCATGAATGTATGATTTGATAGAATGTAAAAGCCACAGAAATATTGATGATCAAGGTTAAAATCATGCTTTATTTCTCCCAGCCATGGAATTTGGGCAAAAGCTTTTTGAACTAGGAAAATGTCACTGATTCAAGAGATCACACATCTGATGAAGGAATTACATGGAGTCTTTCTCAGTTACCTTCACTGAGCCCAACCCTTTTCCCAAGATATAATTAAACATCTTAAGATGAGATGGCCAGCTATGGCACTTCATTTTCAGTCTCTAACTGCTTCTAGATTTGCTTTACCTTTCAAGACTATGCTGATTGTTTTCCAGCTTTTAGATGTGTAATTGCATGGATTGTACATTTAGAGAAGATTTTGCTCTGTTCAGTTTGGTGGTCAGGGGAGTCTAGTGTAGGGAGTATAAATAGGGCCCACAAGATGAAGGTGTAAGCAGTATCATACTGATAAATGTTTCTAGGTCAAATAAAGTCCATGTATTCATTATCCACCTCAGTTTGGCTAGTTAATCAATATTAGTCATAGTTTGTTGCTCTCTTCTTTTTTTGTATGGAATA